AATTTTCTGTTCTTTATATACAAGTTGTGAATGCAAAACAAAAGAGGTGAATGATTTCTCATCCTTTAGACGATAAAAATAAGACCTCTTTCGTCTGTCTTCAAATAAGACGGAAGAAAAAAAGTTAGATCAATACAAGAGTAAGTCGGATTCTTTTTTAGAGTACACTGATACTTGCAGACTATTATTGAGGCCAAAATACAAGGCACTCGGTTGTTTTTCAAATAACTCCTAAACGATAAAAGATATAGGCTTGCGGTTTTCAACAATCAAAAGAAAACACTTTGACTAATATTTTTATAAGCAAAACCGTTATCGAAAAATGACGATAAGACTAATTTTCTACGGAATCTTTTGAAAACTAGCTTGGATTTCTCAGTCGTTAGGTTTAGGACCGTCGAAATGCATAAAAACATAGCTTATCGATTATACTGAGTCTCATGGCAATGTTTGTTGTTCTTAAAAAAATTATTATTATTATATTATTTTATTAGTTTAGAACCTAACGAACCAACCGCGTGTCTTGTATTCCGACGCCAGTAATAGTTACTATTCACTATTCTTGTTCTATCCTTTTCTTTCTGTTATCATTATAGTCTTTTGTCACCTTCTTTTGCTATACGTAGTGCGCATAGTAAAAGAAACATATTTAGTACAACAAGAGCGAAATTCATTGTTTTTCTTTCTGTATTTTTCGCTTCTCTCTTTCGTTCCAAAATGTCCAGTAGACATATAAAAAGAACTGTTTGTTAGTTTGTTCTCCTCAAGGAATCATTATGATCCTCAGTGTGAACAGCATTTCTCTTTGTATCCATTCTCTTTTGATTCTCCACACAAAAACGTCTTTACCTGCAGGGAGTGCAAAGAGTAAAACATTCGTCTTTAATTGCAGAAAATTGCTTCAAATTAACTGCAAAAAATTTTCATTAAAAATTCTGAATACGCCTAGGCGAGATTAGGATTCTAATTTCAACTGGCTAAGACTGAAATCCGAACATCAACTAGTTGCAACACCAATGATTCTAAACTGAACCATCGGGAATTAGAATGCCAATTAGAAGAATGGCAACAAGAACAATCCTAAATAACAAATGGTATACCTACTTATGTATGCCGAAACGAATGGAAATGGTTTGAAAGAAAAATAAATTTGACCTCTTGGCAGCCTGATGAGCCAGTGCTTAATTGAGTCAGAAAGGTTCTCTTAAAATTCAAATATCGCCCATTTCCGACATGGAACTGAAGCATTTATCATACGAAAAAATTATAACAACTAAAGCAACATTTTAAAATTCAATCTTAATCGCTGAAAGGTTTATATATTCTTAAAAGGATTATAGAGAGAAAGAGCAAAATGCAGTCAGTACGATTGAAAATTTTCGTTTAAATTTTTAAAGTAAACACGTGATCACAAGCTGAAATAAATTCTGCTGTCATTAATTTTTGTTGCTTGCTAAATAAAAATTCTATTAATAAAAAACTGTGTCACACTTTTTGGATTCTAAGAACGAAAGTGGAATGCCAACAAGTAGTTAGTCTGTAACACAATATGCACCCAAACCCCTCAATAACACACATGCACAGGTATAATTATTTGAAAGGTAGCGTCTTGTTTTTAAGGGTCAACATACATTCACACTGTTAGCTACATAGGTTATCAATGCGTCGTATATGGAAGCAAGCCCACCAAGCCCGCCATTTACGGTAAAACTGATCGAAAAAAGACAGGATCAATCAATGTTTGGTGCGTTTCTTCGAAGGCTAGCTTCATGTTTTCCATCGGCCAAGACGTCCTTCCTCATCTTCACAAGACCTAGACAACGATTTTAACAAAATTCAAGAAATACCGACAAAAGCGTAAGTGGTTTGTGTTTTCTAATAGATGTTACGTCACTGCTGATCTGTGTTTCAGTTCTCGCCGTCTTTCTTCGGTAAAAATATTAACAGGTATTATAGTACTATTAATGGCGGCTCTTGTTGCACTTATTGTTTTGTATGTTTTAAAAACATCGACGACCACCACTGACACGAGTAAGAAGAAATTTACAAAATTTACAAAATTTCGATTTTAAAAAATGTTTCGAAAATACCCAATTAATGCGCTGAGTTGAGCTGATGCCAAGAATGCGCACAGTCAATAGTCCTGTGAATTGACAGATGAGAATTAGAATCAAACTAGTTTTTCCTCTGTCCATCAGAGTTCTTCTAGCAGAAGGTAAAATTCGTTGAACGTTCACTGCTCTTCTCCAGTTAAGCACTGCTCCACAACTTTGAACTTCGTTTGGCTTGAGCTAGTCTTTACTGTAATTATTCCGGGATATGTTCGATATGATCATCAGAGAATCAACCAGAATAAACTACAACAATGACATATAAACACAGAAGAGGTCAGATTTCAAAGGAAAAATTTCTATTTCTAATTGATATTTGGGAAAACGTGTCGGACTACACTGTGAATAGCGCTGAAGAGATGTACGAAAATGACTTTTGAAAGTTTGACTTGCCGATCACTTACTCGACAGAATTAACGGAAGTAGCTTTTCGCGAGTAGATTTGACTTTAAGCCCCCCTTCCTCGTCAGAAGCCTATCTGTGAAACTATAAGTCCGATCTTGACCTGAGATGCTGATCTTGCGAAAGTATGGTGAAGAAATTTTTTGTTTGGCTCCATCGCGCACGGTTTGCGAGATGTAGCCACTACAGTAACTAAAATGGGGCTGTTCGTAGCTCACAGATTTCTCAGTAATGAAACGTTGTGGAGAGCTCGGACTAGCCTTAAATTGACGATAATACATGTGGCTAGAGGCTAATAGAGGAGGGGATTTTTGATATTTTTCTTTTCGATTTCATAGTCAGCGTAAAAAGTTCAAAATTCGAAAAAGTCTCAGTAACTTTGATAAAGATGTTTACCTAATTACAAATCTAGAGCAAATTAGGCTCTAGCCACATATGTCAGCTTCAATTTAAGGCGTTCCCGAGCTTTCTGCGATGTTTCGTTACCGTGAAATCTGGGAACTACGAAATGGTGTTAAACTGAAATTCACTTTCGAGATATAGTGGCGCCAGTATCTGATGCCAGTTTAGGGCTTTCAGCAAAACTCTCATAACTCTTGATCAGAATATTATTCAGAGCTGGGAGATATCTCATTTTGAACGAAAATCTTTGCTCTATTTTCTGGTGCTGTTGAAAAGTAATTTTTGATTTACTTTTTAATCGGAAAGTAAAACTTTTTCGAAAAGCCAGCTTTTCAAGACTTTCAGAAAACTTTTTTAAAAACCTCCATATCCCTTCGATGAGATCAAATAACATAGAATTCTGTAGGTAGATACTGTAAGCTATCTGATGCTGTGCAACATCGGCTTTTTATAAAAAAATTATGTTTCGGATGGAGGGAGCCTTAACGTGCAAAAAACGTTATTGCTTCTCCTACATTTATTCAAAATAAGTAATTAATGCAAGTATTGCATTAGAAGATTCAATCATTTCATTTTCCATAAAACTTTTGATTTATAACATAAATCACTTCCAGCAGAATTACTAGCTAGTAAGACATCGGTATATATAACAATAGGCGTGTTAGATGGAAAATCTAACTCAATACGGCAACCTCCAATACTAATGGCACCTGGAACGTAAGGGTTTCAGACCATGCTAATTTCGTTTGTGTATCGGACACTTTTCTCGAAAATGCTCTCAAGTAGGTTTTCTAGAAAACCGCGATTTTTGCCATACAGGTTTCGAATAAAGTTTTTCTAGAAAACCCAGCAAACGATGGAGCATTTCTAATTATATGGCTGCATTCAGCAAACAATGGGCTACGTTTTGAAAACAAAATCAAGTCTCCAGCTCTGAATAAAAATGTTTAAATTAAGTTTTAAATTCCGAAATTTTAACCTTTTTTAAATTTTAAATAACTCGACACTGGAAAGGGATGGAGACCTCGACCAAACGGCATTCGATAGGAAATTGAAAATTGATGAAATATATGGAGTTGCGGAGTTTTCAGCTCAACGTTTGTATCAAAAGATTTTCTCAAAATTTATTCAGAGTTGGAGACTTGATTTTGTTTTCAAAACGTAGCCCATTGTTTGCTGAATGCAGCCATGTAATTAGAAATGTTCCATCGTTTGCCGGGTTTTCTAGAAAAAAATTTTATTCGAAACCTGTATGGCAAAAACCGCGGTTTTCTAGAAAATCTACTTGACAGCATTTTCGAGAAAAGTGTCCGATACACAAACGAAAGAGCATAGTCTGAAATCTTAAGTACCAGATGGCGTTAAATTTGGTCGAGACAGGAAAGAGTTATGCTAGACCAACTTTGCGTCTAACACGCCTATTCTCTTTCGTCAGTTTTCTGTTCTATGCTTTCCTCTTCTATTCTAGTCTGATTATGAACACTGCAAGGGAAAGAAACGTCTGTATGCTTGAAATGTATTTCGGTTCAATATCGGGACTGGTCAATACTTGACTTTTAAGCATTCTTAACGAGTTGTTTAAGAGTTCTCATAGAGTTCACTAAACGTTCACTGCTCTTCTCTAGTTAATCAATGCTCTACAACTTTGAGTTTCACTTGCCATAAACTAGTCTTTGCTGTAATTATTTCCATATATGTTCGATATAATCATCATAGAATCTGCCTCAACGCTCATCCTCATCCACAAGTTTTGAGCTTCATGTCCCTTGAACTAGTCTTTGCTGCAATTCTAAAGTCTAGTTTGACGTTTAAGGTACAAGCATACCGACAACAACATTATCAGGTAAACGTCCGAAATGCGGTAAACGAGCGTAATGCACGTTGCTTGTTGCAGCTTACTGGGTGTCAGGCGTTATTTTGAATCTGGATCCAGCGACCCTTACTGGCTGGTCCTTGTGCTATAATGATACTTACTCTGTCGCCTTGTACGGATCGCAGATAATAACAGCAGTGAGTCAATGCTACAAAGGAAAACTTTTGTTAGCATGTGGGCAGGTATCATCGGTCATTTACACAGTCGCAGCAATGGGTTTGCGCGCTGACGTGCTGTATGATTGTGGTTCAACTCCATCTTGTGCACAACGTGCCAACGGCGTCGGGTGGTACTTCTCCACAAGCTATTGTTGGGGATTTGCAAATGGAACCGATACGGTTAACCGAAATACATGTGATGTATCGGCAACGAATACTAATCTACGTATGTGCTGGCATACGCAATCACAAACCGGTTGGTCGTGTGGCTCTACACAAGGCCTGTTTGGTTCTACTTCATGGCAGCGTGTTATATGGCATGCCGATTAGACTTGTACACTCAGAGGATCTTCGGAAGATCTCCAGAAAACTGTTA